TCCCTTCATTGGGATGGTGGCGGTACTCGGCTGAAAGTCGAAGAAGTGCGATATAAAAGAGCCCAAATTTGGTGGCAGGAGAGAGACTCTCTCACCTAATACTAGCATTCAGCCTGGCGGATGAACGTCTCGCCACAATTTGATGTAAAGAAAAATTTATCACTCATTTGCATCCACGTCCCCAAGGAAGAGATGGATTATGCGTCCCCAATGCGATGTGAGAATTGTGCTTGGCGACTTTGGACAAAGAAGGTACTATAGGCACAACTGTCGGAAAATTTAGCCTCCACGACCCCCACATCGCCAAATCGTCACATCGCCGGGGCCCAAAATATCGTTGGCTGTAGTAGCAGATTCCAGAACAAGAAAATTCATAAAGCTATTTGGCTGTCTACAGATCGAAAAAAAATCAAAACGAAATCGGTCATGTGGTGGTAGTCGGACGACATGCCTACGATCAGCCACTAAACGGCAATGCATGCCTGTCGTAAGAGACAACTAAAATCCAGTAGTTCCCGCGACAGTGGGGTCTTTATACTGGAACGAGCCAGATTTTTTATCTGGCCAAGGACTGTCACTCCCATAACATTTCCCAGAAATCACTTTGAGGAATATTTTTGCGGTTACAACAGCAACAGCAACAACTAAATGTGCAGGATGGGATAGTTAGCTAGAATTGAAGAGGGAGGCAGAACGCACTTGCAGGCAAAAACAAGTTTTGTTAGTATGAAGAACTTGAGAGGCTTGTAAACTGATGCTAAGCAACACAAAAAGCTACATCAGGATCGCAAGGGATCAAGCCGTTCAAAACCAAACGAAGCTTGAAACAAAGTGATTCCTTATCGTGTGACTACTTTAATTTAGCGCTGGAGAAAATAATAAGCGCCGCAGAGCTGTGTAGAGAATGTACAATCTTTCCTAAGAGTGTACAACTGTTGGCGTACGCGGATGATATAGACATTTCTGACTGTGCTGCGAGTTCTGCTTTCTTCATACTGGATAAGGAAGCGAAGAATATGGGTCTGGTAGTGAACGGGGGCAACACTGTCAGCTTTAAACTCCAACGCAGAGTCACTCTTACCAACAGGTGCTCCTTTGAACTTAGTAGGGGTGCCTCACCAGTATAATATTTCTCTTGAAATCTCCTTAAGCTGACTCATCGATTGTCGTCATTGTCCACACTTCTGCACCAGTTAGCAGGGTGGGGGAATGATGAAGAACTTCTAAAAGTTTTCAATATTTTCAATAGAGCTAATTTTTAGGTGCATAACTTCGATTCTTTAGTAGGTGTAGGCTTAAGACACATTTACATAGCGAGCCCCTTGCTCTGAGTGGCAGCCTAGCTATGATTTAAGGCTTCCCAAGTTACACATTTACCCCACTGTAACTGCATACCCAGAGAAATGACCACCATCTCTCATTATACTACGATTTCTACAATTTACAATTCTTCCATTAATTCGAACACGAAAATTACCCAAATTACGCTTAGCGCCAATCACTGAGCTCTTAAGGGCTTAGTTCAGTATATTGGGATAAAACTTTATTCTTTAATTAAAATACTTACATTTACAGGGACTGGTCTTTTTGCGAAGAGTTTGCATGTTGGTCTCTTTCCAATTCTTCTTCGCTAATTTGCGAAGTTTTCGGTATTGAGTTGCTATCTTTGGTTAATATTCTAAAAATATGTCGGCTTTTGAAACTTTGTTTAGTATTTTATTATGCATTTATGTATTTTAAATTAAAATGAATACATTGACCTTTGGTATTTGGAAGGGAATGTTTTTTAAACAGAATATCACAGTAAACTATTCGAAACTATTTATTTACATAATTTGCGCAGCAAATCACACACCAACTTATTTATTTTATTATACTTTCTTAAAAACTCATAGTTGAATTTTTTACTTCCGGTTGTGGTTTTATACTATTTCATTTTATTGTTTTCTTGCATGCAATTTTTTTCATACTCGTATATACATTTAAATATGATTTCTGTTAAGATTAGTTTTATTATTTTTAATTTCTTATATTTTATCATTTCATTCATGAAATCCCATCATCATCACCGCCCACAGCATTTTACTATCGCCGCTCTCGTTCACAATTCCATTCGCTGCCATTTTTATTCGTTTTGTTTACTTTTCCAAATATTTCGTCGCACTTCTCTTTTATCACCTATTTATACATTAGACGCCACACCACTTTGTATTTTTATTCTCTCTGTGTTTATTTTTGTTGCTGCGTCTTGGTCGTATTTTCGGTCGATATGTTTGCAAGGAATGTGACAGCTTTTCCGCCGACTAGCTGACGTTATGACTGCATCACCGGCATTTCGTATACAGCAACATTTATCGATTTTTCACTACGGCTCAACGGGTCGCGAGAGTTGTATGTACTCGAATGAGGCAATGTAGGCGCGGTGCAGCGTATGCGGTGTGCAAGCGGAGGATTGTACTCATTTTTATTTTTACGAAACTTTTTAAAGAAAGTGCAAAATCTAATTGAATAATAAATAAATTATTTTCAGCACGCTTGAGGCTGTGAAATACCAAAGGATACACAAAATTAACTACTCCACATGCCAGACTAAACGCAACTTGCTATGAAAATTTTGAAAAACGACGAAACATTTCAGCACCGCACTTCTGCTTAACAAATACCCTGGCATTTTATGTTCACTATGCTATTCTTTTTTTTAAATTTCATTGCACTGTATTTTCATTGTAAATTTAATGTACGTGGAAAATTTAGATTTTTCTTCAGGTCCAACGCCTTTCATTGTCGTCGAATTGATGACCGAATTATTAAGTTCATTGAAAATTCGATGACGGAAAAGGATATAGGAAGGATAATAAATGGTTGACATATTTATATGGTGAATGGTGCTTGTGACAAGTGATAACGTACACACATATCTACATTAGGGTGGTCTTTCTGATCTTTATTATCTTATATTGCAAGTTTCTATATGCTCAAGATCTGCGAATTATAATTATTCTTGCTTTTCAAAAATCCCTGGTATAACTCAAGTTAGGGGAATAATAATAAATTTATAAAATGGAGTAAACTTGAAACACGGTATGAGCACTTCGATCAGATATATGTATATCATGAATATAAAGCTTTATTGTGAGTGTTTTTTATTATTAAACCAACGATTTTTAATTTAAAATTTTTATAATAAATATATATATGTATATAATTGGCGCTTTGTAACCGCTGAAACCATTTCCAATTTGTAGTTTTGGATCTTGATGTTTTATCAGCAAATGGAGGGACCTACAGTTTATACTAAGCCGCCTCAGGGCAGATGGTTTTTTATGAGGAGCTTTATTTTATATCCGAAACACACTCGAAGGAGTTGACATTTAAAAAATTTAACTTTTTTTATTTAAATTAATTTTCTACATCATTTGTATGTTGATCGCACCAGGATTTGAACCCTAGCCTTCCCGATGACAGTACGCAATGCTAACCACTCTGCTACCGCAGACGGCTAGTAAAATACTGGCAGAAAATATGTTAATATTAAAAAAATAATTGTTACGAGCAGGGTGATGTCTTGTTTGATTTGTATTTTTTAAAAAATCCTATTAAATTCCACAAAACAAGTTTCACGAAGCATGCACTTTCCTCCCATATATCATCAAAATATAAACGATCTGAAATTTATTGATATTATATGACATGATTGTTTATTATGTATACTATAGCTTAATTAATTTTTTAAGTTTTTTATTTTACGAACATGACTTACCATAAAAAAGACTTTGTTTTCTTAAGACTTCTTTGCAGCGGAAGCCATATACTCGTTAATCTATCACTTACTTCGAATTTGTCCAAAGCAGATACCACTCTTTCATTAGAAACACATTTTCTTCCTTGCTTAATAAGGTTTCGGTTTCTGAAATTGCTTGCACGTCATCACTGCTCGCAGATAATACTTACATATATATTCTATGCATTCGTGTCGATTTACAAAATTGATTCGTTGTGATAGCTACATTGCTCTTTAACTCCGTTATAAATTCACCAAATTCTTGGATTTAAATCTTTTTTGAAAAGAAAGAGAGGCCGAGAATTCGTACTCTTCTCTCTATGCATATATTTATGTGATAGTCCATACATATAAATTAAAAAAGGATAATGAATCACCAAAAAAGCTTACAATACTTATTTTACATACAGAAAAAGGTTCTGCATTAATTAAATTATTTTTCAAAAAATTAAAAATAAAAATGGCTGAACATTAAAAAATATTTCTTGAAATCAAAAAATGTATAACACAACAGATTATTAATTAATATATAATAAGTAAATGTGAGTAAGACTTTTATAAATACTTCACAACATTCGAAAAGTTGAAAACATTTAGTTCGAGGAAATACTATTTTTAAAATTTTGAAAATATAAAAAATTGAAAGAACAAATTTTGCCTCATTGTTGAAAGAAAATCTATTAAATACTGAATTTTTTTTCTTACCAACTACAAATTTTATGGGAAAAAGCATTAAATATATTCATTATGTGCCATAACTCTGCTACTGAAGAGCGAAATTAATTATTATTGACATTCGCTCTTTGGCAAATTGCTTATCTATTGTGAATGTATTAAAGCTGTGTTCAGCCAAAGAACGTATATTAATTAATATACGTTATTTGGTTGAAGAGTAATCATTTAAAGAAATTATGAAAATAACATGTGTAAAATAGTTATTAATTGAAATTTTAAAATATACTATATTACTCAACATTAATAAGTTTTTATTTGTTCACATTTCCATTTTTCGCAAACAAACAGAAAAACAAGATTTCCAAAAGTATGTGCATCCCTTTTTTATTCAGCAAGCCCAAAAGTATTTATTGTGCAATATTATTGAAGAAACATTCAATAAGTGTTCCAATGCTACAACACTACAATACGAAACTTAAGCAACCCTGTAATGGGCTCCAGCGACGGCGCCAATGCAGCGACTCCAGTTGGTTCGTGTTTGTAAACTTGCTTTTATTCAGTCTTTCTTTTGCGCTGGTAGTGAACTTGTTATTAGGTACTTATCGTGTGACAGTTAAGCAACGTCTATAAAATTTTAAAAATATTTTCGATCTTAACGAATTATCCGCTGATATAAAAAAAGTTATCAAAGTGCAATCGTTAAATACAACGCAACCTTATAAGTAAATTTCATAAAATTGAAATTTAAAATATTAAATATTCCAATTGGTTTTGTGTACTTGAGCGAGCTCTTGGTACTTGATCCAGACATTTTTCGTGTTGATCGTGTTGTCTTGTTCGCGCTGCTGCTGTGTTGAAGAAGTTAATTGGTAAAGCTGGTTAAAAAAAAAATTGTGTGTGTAAGGCGAAAAGAGTAGATCTCAAAATAGTGAATTCTTGTAAAAGATTCAACAGCAACAACAACGTCTGAATCCAACTGGATTTTTCTAATTGAAATTTCTATTTGCTGTTGAGAGTTTTCAGTCACATTTCAATTTTCTATCATTAATAGAAAACAATATTTTAGCTGTTCGAAATTCCACAACTACTCTTCGACAAATTTGGAGTTAAATTTCCGCGGTGTAGTAATGCAGAAGTTTTAAAATTCTTCAAAATTGCAGAGAAAACCAAGAAGTGCAAAAGTACAAACGCAAAGAAAAATAAAAACTTCGCCTTTCCCTGGACATTGTTTGGCAGTGACAAAAAAATTTCGGCAATTTCGGTTCAAGTTACAAAATAATTACACCAACAAAAAGTATATGTTAGTGACACAAAGCAGTGCGCACGCGTGAACCACTGCATCAACAGGCCAAAAGAATAAGATAAACAGCACAGAACAAGTGAACTAAAGTAGCATCTGCACAAGCTAACAGGCAGATAAGTCTCAAAATGAATAAAACTTGTGCTCGCTGTCAGAAAATTGTCTATCCCATTGAAGAGCTGAAGTGCCTGGACAAAGTAAGTTCAAAATTATAATTTATGCCCAATAATAGAAAATAAAATAAATAAATAAAAATCAGGTGGATTCAACAGATACCTATGCAGTTTTTAGATAAATTCCTTTAGGTCGTCTGTCAGCCTATTTCAAAACTGGTTGGATGCTAAGGCAATTTCCGTGTGTGTAAAAGGGACAACAGTGTAGATGCTATAGCCTCGGCTCATATTTTTTTTTTTTGCCTTGTTGATTTTTTATTTCTGCCTTCAGCATTACAATGATTTTGCGGGGATCATTTTTTTTATGGATTTTGTACATTGATAATATTCTTTAAGGTAATAGTGAGCTTTTTTCGTAACTACATTTTTGGTCTTGGCTATCATTTGTGGTACTCATCTCCGGAACAGCTGATGGCAAAACTATTAATGTGAATTTAAGATGTTCAGGTCAAGTTTTGTCATAAATTAATTTGTTCAAAGTGGTCATATAGGTAAATATATTAAAAATAACTAAAAATACATGTAGCGGCATGTAGGGGAAATGTCGCAATTGGATTTTGAAAGCGAAATTGTAAATCGCAGGAATTGATTTGAAGTGTGATGAAATTCATTCAATTTCAACCAGGTTCGAACTCCAAGTCGTAACTTCTGAAGGTTCAAGTAGTGCTTGTTTTTGCTTGTTTAATATACCCAAATAATTGAAAAAACACTATAAAGTTTCTAATGGATTTTGGGAGATCACTGCAGTACTTAAGATATTCCTATGGCACATTTTAAATAAAAAGTATATCTCCTGCAGCCGACCGATTTCCAAGCGGCAAAAATGTCGCTAATGGAATTAATGAATTTCTGTAGGGCACCATAAGAATTAAAAATTCGATTATCACTTTTTGACAGCTCGCGTAGACCGAAAACCGAATGCAGCTCATAATATGCACAGCTAAGTATAGCGCAAGTCAGGTCAGGTTAATGGCTAGCGAACAATATCACTGATTTTTTTTTTGTGACAGCGCTTTTTAGACCAGATGATAGATTAAGATACCTAAAAGATTATCTTTTTTTAAAAAATTAGTACATAAATACACACATATATGTTCGTACATATGTACATTTATAATTTTAATTTAACTAAAATTGCTTTACAATATTCAGTTAATTTATTTTATTTTGCTTTGGCGATTACTCTTTGTAATAATTAAAGGCTGCCTACGCCAAGTCACAAAAAGACTACTTCGAACTCCAAAATATTAAACAAAAAAAATTGTAAACAGTATTAAGAAACTAAAAATATATTTAAATGTGTGTATGTAAACAAAGAATGCACAGAATCAGCAAACCGGAAGCGGAAAATCATGCCGACGATTGAAGTCAAATAAGCGAAGTAGGAAAAAGTAAATTGTAAATGAAGTCCTTGCGTACTACTAGCTTATTGTCGTTGCTTAATTCATTGTGGAAGCTATGTTTATTTAATTTTTTTTTTTGTATCCACAAACGCCGTTGTCATTCATTATAAAATATTTTTATTGTTGCAATATGCCATTCATTGCTCTTTATTGCCAGCACCGAGCATACAATTTGAAATAAAAAAACAAAAAAGAGCAAGTGAACAACAACTTTTAAAAAGAATTTTGTGAAATTATTAAATCACTTTTTATGCAAGCAATTTGCTAAATGGACGAATAGCAAATTGGGTATGTACAGATGTACGCATGCACATATGTATACACTGTGTGTATACTGTTGGAGCAAATATTTTTGTATGCGCATAGATTAGTGGGGGCCAAGCAGCACATTGACGTGATGACGCAGCTGCTTAGGTTCGCCGTTTGCTGTGGCAGAACTTTAGGGTCTGACTCGTTGAATTGCTAGCTGGCTGGCTGCTTGCCCGCTGTTCTCATATTACCAGCACGGACGCGCTTACAGGCAGCAGCTAGAATCTCATATTCTTTTATATGTATGTAAGCATGTACTTATATGTATGTACGTGTATGGGTTTATTTAAGTTCACAAAGTTGCATATTTAGTAAAACGAGTAAAGTTGTTCTGGCAGTCAACGAGTCTCTCGCTGCTGCTTCTGCTCGTGTTGAAGCCGGTTTGTTAACTGACTAGTCGTCGTATGCTTGCTGCTTTGCTGTCGGCGTCTGGGAAAGAAATATCAGCGGCAGACGACATCTGTAATACGAAATGCAATACAAGAACTAACATAATATGTGCATTTAATTTCTTTATTTTAATTAAATTATTTGTGTGTTGTGATTTTTGCTGTCGCTCGCTGCCGCTGCTGCTTCTCCTGCTGCACTATCTCCCCCTCATCAGCGGGTAGCAAAGGAGTGAAACTGAGTTGACGTGAGAAAATGTGGTTTTGCTGTTCAACTGGTTGCAGTTGCTTTGCCTTCGAGCAAACTTGCAACGAACAAAGTGCACAATACAAAAATAGCGCTGGAAGAACTAGCTGAGAAGTTGAGATAATTATAGAACTTATGTGATAGGTTGAACGGGGAATAGAATGGTGCTGCTATAGGCAGAGATTATGAATAGCAAAGTTATATTCTATGCAAGCAAAGCGAATGATTGTAAATAAATTTGCGGCGGGCGCTAATATGTATGTATGTAGGTACATACATATGTATAATATCGGACGCAATTTCTATGAAAAAAAATGAGAAAATATAGAAAGTGAAGCGCTGGTAGCAATGAAGCGGGACTTCAATGGATTTACCATTAAAAATTTGAACCTTTAAAGTGGAAAGCCACCAGCTGGTCCTTACTTAACATCTCTTTTTCTACTTTTATGCGCCTTTGGCTCAACGCGTGGGTGCCGCAATGCGCATTAGGCTTCTGTCGCGTGTGTTCTGTTAGACCACTCCAGCATCCTTTGATTAAGCCAACAGTAGCTTGCAATCAGTAGTTGGTAGTTAGCATTAACAAGTACGCGCAGCAGCAATTTCAGTCCGCACTTGTAACAAATTTGAAAAAATATATATATGTATGTATATAGAAGCAAATTGCCATTGCTGAAATGACAGTGAGCCTAAGTTTTCTTCTCTTCTGCTTCCATCATCTTTGCGCCATTGTAAAAAGCATGGTATTGGCTTTCGAACTGCTTTCGAAAAGTTCTATTTTACTCATGTTGGCACTTCAAAGGCATACAAACCAACAAACAGACGTTTGCTTGACTTGGCTGACCAGTGAATTTGGTCTGTTCCGGTCTGGCCGGATTTTTGCTTACTCTTTATCGTTTTTCATCATTTTTCTTTTACCCATCGTGTGTGCTGTGGAATGTGTCTGTTTGTAAATACTTGTTACTTTTACTCTTCGACATGTGCACGCACATACAAATTATATGTATTTACGTGTACTTTTTTGGAATTTGCCACTAACCGACCTTGAGTACACGTACATATAGATATACATATATGTATGTATGTATGTATGTGTGTATGTTTGTTTATTGCTTTATTATGGTTTCTTTACATATGTATGTACATATATGTATATGTACCTACTCGAATGCATACCTTTCTTGCATATTATGTTTTACTCTTCTAAAAATCCAGTTTTCCATTTCGTCATTCATAGTTTTTTTCTCTTGTTTTTTTTAAGGTGTTGACTTTATTATTGTTTTTATTATTATTACTATTATATAATGTGCTACAGAAACACATGTATATACCTATGTATGTGTGTGTATCTGAATACTTATTTTTGCGTGTATTATAAACACCTATTTTGCAAATTTAACTATTTGTATTTTTATTTCGTTTCTTGTCACATAGTGAAAATACAAAAAAAAAACTGCAAATTATGATATATTTACCGTTATGTGCGTGATAGGTGTGAACCTGCAATGAATGCTGCCAAACGCGTTTTTGGTATTTGCGGAATTTCCGAACGTGGTTATTTTTGAAAAAAGTGGTTTTTCTACTAATTCTGCTACTCACATACATATATATTTTAATTAATTTTTCATAACTCATATGTTTTTATGTAGCAAAATAAACGAAATAAAAAATTAAACAGTTAAAACAAAATGTACAATAAATAAAATTATTTTCCAAATCGAAAGTAATCCACTTTAGTGAGTTTACTTGCATTATGATCTTGCGGTATATCCCGTATTCAGCCACATTTTAGCATTAGCCGCTAACATGCCGTTAGTTTTTCCCTTTAGAAGCTCGGCGTTAATTGGAAATATCAAGCCGAATGAAAAATTGATTCCAACGAAGTGGAAAACTTTCAAAGCTGCAGCGTTGCCATCCATAAGGACGATATGTCTAACGTAACCGCTGTCTAATTCGAAAAACTATATCGTACATATTATCGTTGGTCAATGAGTAAAGGACAATAAATCTTAAGCAAAATGACTCGTCGGATGTCATCACCGTTTACGTTTCCGCAACATAAGTACATCAGGACGGGAATGATTAGCGACTAGCGGAGTCTAGTTTTTGTTCATCGTGCTTAGCTTTACATTTCAAAATTTCGACATGCCTACACGATAATTTAAATATTGAAAGGATTGGCGAACTGAAGTTGCCTCTTTCGTTCACGAAAGTGACTTTTGAACCGACATGGCCACTAAGGTCAAGAAACAATTGATTTTATAACAATCAACAACACAAGTACAGCAGGGTTTTTCCCTTACCCTCTTTCATTTCTGCTCGAAATTTCTTTTGTTCGCTATTTTGAGGTTTTCGATTGTTCACTATTTATTTAGAGTAGTAAAAATTTGGGTGTTCACCATATCGAGGTGTTCACTATATCCAGACATGACTTTATATTTAATATTATAAGAAAAAAGTGCGAATTATGATATACTTTTCGGTGAAACCCATTGTAGGATTATCCTGAAGGCACCGTCCGACAAAAATCAACTTTTATTTTGATCCACGAAAAATCAAAAAATTTTCGGAAACTAGGACAATGCAAACATCCTCGTCTGGCCGTTTTGCTAGATGAAGTCAAGTCGTTTATGGTTATTATAGGTGAAAACAACTCTAAAATAATAATAATTGTTATCTAGT